CGTTTTGCTAATCTTAAATTCAAACATTGCTCTGTCTTTTTGTGACTTATATTTTCGAACTCTCACTCTAATCTTTACTTTCGAGACTTTTTTATTTTTTTTCTCTTGTCTTTCTTAAAAGAGGACCGGGGGGAGAAGAAAAATAAGAGCATATATTTGTTTTTTCTCAACGTTGTTTTCTTTAAATTTTTTTTCCGAAAAGTAATTTTTTACAAGGAACTTTTGAATTTTTTGATGAATATGTATTTAGTCAAATTTTTTTAATAGCGTAATATCTTTGTTGTTCTGAACAACTAGAAAACAAAATTAAGCATTTCAAGTATTTCAGATTAATAACGCTCAATTACTTTTCTTCACACTCATCGTTTCACTTTTATTTTATCATATTGAATGTTAATTTTGTCGAATTCTCACAATTCACTCATTGAAAACTAAGCTTCAGTTATTGTGTTGTCATAGCACAGTTAACCTTCTCTTCCGGCCTAATGTCCTTTTTGGTTTCTCTAACAGCACTGGAATTTTTGTCTTGGTTTCTTGCCTAGGAAGTCTTTGTCTACCTTGATTATTTAGGTATCAGATGTTTTGTCAAGTTCAGACGGCGTGTCACCACGCGACGCTCTTTTGCAATGGGCACAGGAAGTCACCAGAGGTTATCCCGGTGTTAATATTCGCAACTTTACCAGCAGTTGGAGGGACGGCCTTGCCTTTAATGCAATATTGCACCGTTACAGGCCGAAGCTCATACAGTGGAGTCGAGTAATTTTTACACTCGCTACTTTTTTATGACACTGATGTATATTTTTTTTACACTTGAGATTTACATTCTAGCTTATGAAGGTATTTATCTTTTGTGTTATATTATTTAGGTTCCAAAAACGTTCTTTTTGACTTATTTTGTAGAGTTTTTTAGAAGAAATTGTATGCTTTGATTTCAGCTATGTTTTTTCAATATTATTACTTATCTGTTACGTTGATTAAGTGGGAGTTTCCTCGTTAGTGCCAAAAATCTTTTTTAATTTTGTTGATTTTTTTGTGTTTTTGAGAAAGTGGTAATAGAAGCTGTGTAAGAAATTATGTTTTTTATTTGAAATCCGTATCAGTCGCGTGATTGATTCGCTACTGTTGTACTGTACATTTTTGAAGTTTTTAGGTTGCTAAAGTTATTTCTGTTATTTTTGTATCAGTTCTTATTCACAGTTACCTAGGTGGTTTTTTGTAGATAAGATGAATTTAATGGTTTTTTTTTTGGTGGTTTATATTTTTTGAAAATGGAAAGATTTTAACTTTAGATAAGCCAACCAGAAGTTTCACAGCGGGAACGACTTGAAAATGCATTTACTGCAGCTGAAAACGAATTCAGTGTTTCAAGGTTATTGGATCCTGAGGACTTGGATGTGGAATCACCAGACGAGAGAAGCATTATCACATACGTTTCTTCTCTTTACAATGCTCTTCCTCACAGCAGTAGCCTCAGCAAGGTATCGTTTGTACGAATCGTTGGTGTGCCTTGTACCTCTTTATATGCGCATAATTTTTTTGTTTGTAAATTCCTCGAGAATTTTAAAATTATTTGTAGTTTGTTTGCATTGCTACTTACAGTAATCTTTATTCAAAACGCTAAACTTGGTTTATATAGTCACCGTGCGGTTGTCTACAGTATAATAATCTTCATTTGCTTATCAGCAGAAATACGCTTTTTGAGAATTTATGCTTTTTAAGGAAAGTTTTAAAATGTGGAAATTTTTCAACGCGTTCTTGCATTCTCTTCATTTTTCAGTACGAGGAAGAAATGGATGAGTATGAAAGGCAGGCTTCGGAGTGGTTACGTTGGGTTACTCGTGCTACAGGCCTGATGAATGCTCGTCAAATCCCATCAAACGTCAGTGAACTACATAGTTTGATTGAAGAACTGGAACGTTTTAAGGCGGAAGATCTTCCTCCAAAATACCAAGAAAAACAGCGTTTGACTGAGCGGTATTCCGAACTATATTCACTTTTCGAAGGGACAGAACTTCTGCAGATTTCTTCTGATTTAAGTCCTCCAGCACTCTCGGTTGCTTGGCAGCGTTTAGAAAAGGCCATGGAAGAAAGAACTTTAGTTTTAGAAGAAAGAGCTGGAACAGTTCAGGTTGCTGGATTTTAAAATCATCTACCTTTTTTTTTGTATTTTTGTTTACAAGTTAGAACCTCACTCTGTTCCCGAACAAAAAGTTTTTTTGAGGGCTCTCTGGGAGATATTATTAGTCGACTAACACGAGGAATTAATATTACGAACGAAAAATTGGATCATTTACTTAATCGAATTGAGGAGGTTGATAAGAGAGGTTGGTTATATTTGTGACATTGGCTTGCTAAATCTTGATATTTTTGTTTTCAAAAATTTTTTGGTCGTATTAACGAGCATTGTATGATCTTTATAATTATTTTTTAAATTTAATTTTTACAATATAGTTGAAAATGGATGGTTATCCGACCTTCAAGTTATTGTCGATGGAATCATAGACGATCTAAATGTGCTTGAAAGCCCTATTCGCGGCTTCTTTGAAGATGTTGAACAGCTAAAGCTGAACAGGCGTCCTGAAGCTTCTGACTTTTCAAAACAGTTAGTTCTTTCAATTCTCTGGAAATTCTGTTTTGTTTCAGGTTTTTTAACAAAGACGATAAATTTATTTTTTTGAAGAGTATATGGTTTGGAACAGCGAAGACAGGCATATTTGGGCAAATTGCAAACACAGTTTCTTAATCGACTCGGAGTTCATTCAGAAACGTTAATTCGTGAGACAGAGGAAAGACGAGAGTCTATCAAACGTTCAACATTTGATCGCGTTGAAGAATGCATTGAGTGGGTGCGACAGCGTGCTGTAAGTTTTTATGAATTATTCGTATTGATTCTGTAGAGTAGTTTTTCATCGTTTAAATTCAGGATAAACTATCAAATATGGAATTCATTGAGAACTTGGATGAGTTAGAAAGGATGTTTGAAGAACACAAGAAGGACAACCACAATATTCAAGAATTTCGTCAAAATGTCGATGATTGTATTGCACGTCAGGTATCATTTATGAGTCTTCCTACGTACTTATTTCAAAAGTTGACGCTTCTCCTACACGCAAGGCTAATTTTTTTAAAATATGAATGCCGTTTCTTGCTGTATCTTTTAATTAATTTATACCACTGTCATTAGATAGATGGATACACTTCGATGCATTCTTTTTTTGGATTTAGTTGTAAATTTCTTATTTTTAGGCTGAAGTGCCAACTGAGTATACTCATGAGTACTGTGAACTGCTAAGCACTTTGGAAAGCGAGTATAAGCAGCTGCGTGATCTGTCAGCTGGCCGCATGTTGGACCTAGATTCTTTAATTGCTTTTGTTCGTGGTGCACAGGAAGAAATTCGATGGATAGGCGTTCGGGAGGATGTGGAAGTTACTAGGAATTGGTCTGATATCAGTCAGTTAGACCTTCCAATGTTACGGAATTATTACAAGCAGGTATTAACCTTAAGCAGCGAGTAAAGCGCAATTAATATGAATGCCACTAGAACTCGATTGCATCGTTGTTGCCTAATTATCATGATGAAGGATTGGAAGCATGCTTGTTGTGTAATGTTTAAGTTTATTAAATTTTTTTCAGATTCTGCAAGAAATTGAACTTCGTGAACCGACTTTCAACGATGTTCATAATAACGGAGCTGCCTTGTTAAATCAACGCCATCCTGCCGTTCGTGTTATAGAATTTTATCTAGATACAATGCAGCGAAAATGGGACTGGCTTTTAGGTTTAACGAAATGTTTTGAGCAGCATTTAAAAGATGCATTGAGCTTAAGCAATGTAAGTTTTTAATGCTATGATTATTTGTTATGATTCATTTTTGTAACTTTTGGCTAGGTGTCTTAGAAGTTGTTGTTTAGTTTATGGAGGAAGCAAAAGCTGCTGAAGATTGGATGATACGACAAACTGAGCTTTTGGAAAGGAAGTATGACCGAAGTGATTTTACTGTGGAAGAGGGCGAGCAGTTTTTACATGAGCTCGACGAGTTTAATGATTTAATTAGGAAATATCATGGAATTTTAATGGCTTTGACGGACAGGAGTGCACAAATTTCTCCTTTATGGCAACGAGGAGAGAGAATTCAGAGACCTATACCTGTTACAGCTTTGACGGATTATGCGGATGCAAATATTATTATAAGAGAAAGTACTGGTTTTTATTTTTTTTTTCAAACTTTTGAGTCGTTTGCAGGGTCAGATACAATAATTTGTTTTATCCTGTGTTAAAGAATTGAATATTTAAGGAGATGAGTGTACTTTGTTGGACAACTCAGACTTGATTCACTGGGATGTTAGAGGTGCTGATGATGCTCAGAGTACCGTGCCTTCTATAATATTTCGTATACCTCCTCCAGATGCAAGATTAACTGCGTATCTTCGGAATTTACACAACAACTTTGACAAGTTAAGACGGTTGTGGGAAAAGAAGCATCAGTTCGTCAGGTTCAACATGGTTTTAAATACCATGGGTCAGATAAGGTTAAACATTGTAGCAATTTAATGCTAATTTTGTTGTTTGTATATTAGAGTTTCCGAGACAACTATCTAGATTTTTCCTTTGCGTGACTTTGGAAAACGCTGTTAAAATGTTTTTTGATTGACGAATTTGCTTTCTGTTTTTCAAACTTTATAGTTGTTTCCAACAGCTGATGCTATTTAGTAGTGTTTTCAATAGACTTGGAAGATTTTTTCAACATTATTTTAGGGGTTGGGATCTTGATACCTTTTTGATTTTGGAGCCGGAGGCGCGAGAGCAAATAATAAAGGCTCTTAATGATGACGCTCAGAAGCTCCTTGCAGAATTAGAACCGGATGATCCATTGGCTTTGCGCTTAAAGGAAGAGCTTGCCTTGACTAACGAGCATTACTACAACTTATTGAATGAATCTATGCGTCCTAAAGGTATGTTTGAAACAGCTTTCAGATGGTAGAAATATTCTAGTTAGTAAAAAACGGTTATAAAGCTTTCTTTTAGAACCTGATCTTGGAAGTATATTTGACGAAAAGATTCGAGAACTGTTGGGCAAGCTTGATCAGGCTTATAGTGATTTGAACGAACGAGCATCACAGGTTTGTCTTTTACTCAACATTTTTTTTTTAGGTTCTGTAGCAGAATCCTTCTTTTTTGCTGATTTTAAATCACAAAATGGGTAGTCAGAGTTCTAATTAATATTGCTCTCAGGGTGTTCCGCGATCGGTTGATGAGCTGGAGAAGTTGATTAGCAGTCATAAGAATTTTGAAGATATCTTACAAGCTTATGACGCTGATGTTTCTAACATTAAAGAGCTTTTCCGGCAACTTCCAAATCCGTCTCCTTCGCAGAGAGCGAACCACGAGCTACTCAATAACCGCTGGTCTGATTTGTGGCAACTTTCGCAGATGTATGTTGAACGTTTAAGAGTCCTGGAGCGGGTCTTGCAGGGGATCTCAGAGGTTTATTTTTACCAGTTGTTTATCAACCCGGAATTCTGTTATTATGTTTATAAATAGTTTCCGGTTTCACTTTTTTCTAGTTTTTTGACTTTCTTAATTTAATTTTAGGTTGCTGATATAGTCCGTCAGCACGAAATCACTCTTAACTCGTTTGATGACCTTCCTGCTGCGTTAGATAAGCTTCGCGGCGTGCATTCTCAACTGCTTGAGCTCAATATGGTATTAAAACAGCAGCAGAACGTTGTCGATTCTTTGAACCATAACATTGCTGTTTTGCGCCAGCATATTGCGCGAACAAGGCAAACTACAGCGTAAGTTAAAGTCACTTCCATTTCTTATCTGGAATTTAACGTTAACAGGTGGCAGCTTTGGAAAGCTGGTTTTCTTTTTGTCACAATTAGTGAGGTATTAATATTTTTTTAGATTTGTTAAAAAATTGCAATTGTTCAATTTTAGGCATCCTGATGTCGATCGACTTGAAGATGATGTTCAGAATTTGACTGTACGTTGGGAAAACGTTTGCTCCCAAGTAGCTGACCGCTTGAAAACCGCTGAGGAAGCGTTACATACACAAATGGTTTATCGTTCGGCATACGAAAACGAAATTGCTTGGTTAAATCGTGTAGAAAATACCATCAATGGGTACTTGTTCTTTTCCTCTGAATTCCTAGCTAATTATTTATTAAATGATTTTGTTGAATGAAATCTCGACTTTTTGTATTTTCCCTCACTTTCAGCTTGCGTAATCCGGAGGAGATGCAACCGGAGCAGTATCAAAGTCAATTAGACGTCCTATTGGCAGAGTACGCCCAACTTCAAGAAAGGACAGAAGCAATAGAGAATGTTAACAAAGAAGGTGGAAAATTTATTCGTCAGGCAAAGGTAGATTTCTTGTTTATTTGTAATTTAGTTAAGTTTTCAGCTGTTTATCTATGTGGTCTTTAAAGTAGTTAAATTCTGCTAAGAATACCTTTATTTTTCTCACTTGGAATTTTTTGAACAGTTTTGGAGCGTCTTTTGTTGGTAGGGCTGTAGTATTGTATCTAACCGTTATTCATGAACTGATTTTTTAGAGCTATGATGCGGATATTGCTCAATATTTGGACGATGTTGTTGGAATACATGGACCCGTAATTAGAGACCTTTTCCGCCGGACAAAGCCGCAGCCAAAGAATGGCGCTCAGATAGTAACTGAAGAGCTAGAAGGTTTGAATCGTCGACTTGCGCAATTGAGTTCCTTCATTCTTGAAAAAAGGAACCACATGCAAGTATTAATTCAAAAGTGGAAACGCCAGAAACAGGTAAGGATTTGTTAGTAAGATTTTATTTTAGCAGCAATATTTAGGGATTATCAGGAACTGGTCGTTAAATGCATAAGAATTTAAGAGTTATGAGCGCAAAAGTAGCATTGTTTTTGTGTTCTCTGATTGGAAGTAATTTATATCCTTGTTACCGGGAACTAAGTTGTACCTGATAGTCGGAAGTCGCTAAGAGCGAACGAGATTTAAAGTCGACTAACTAATCTAGTTATTTTAAAAGTGGAGAGAGGGAACGAAACCAACCGATGTTAACTTGACTGCAGTTCGCTCTTTGATTTTTTAACATTATTTCAGCTGATTCAAGAGTGTGCTCATCATTGTGTTTCTGAGCTTCTGTACTTCTAACGGTTTTTAACACTAACGGCTCTGGTCTTTTATTACACAGCGCTAACAAAAGCACTAACTACTGCATGGTTGCGTTTGTCGTTTTAGGTTTTTTTTTAACAATATTTTCTTCATCCTGTGAATTCGCGTTTTACGATTCGAATTTGATCTGTGGATGTCTGCTAAACTTGTTGTTGAACGGAAGTGGTTTGAAACCACTTGAATCGGTCGCACTATTGCGTGCCTGTGCATTGTAATTACGCTTCATCGCTTCTACACGTTTTAGATCGGTTGGTTTTGGATGAGTAAAGTAAAAAAAATCTTAAAAGGCATGGAAACGCTTGACCGTAGTGGCAGGCAATGAAGCTCATAATGCGAAGATGCCTTAGAAATTACAGGAAGAAGAAGAACGCCGTCGAGCTGAAGAGGAAGAAAAATTACGGCAGTTTGAATTAGACCGGTTAAAAAAGCTAGAAGAAGCCGATCGAATTCGAAAAGCACGAGAGGAGGCAGAGAGAAAACGCCGTGCTGAAGAAGAAGCTAGGCGGCAAAAAAAACAGGAGGAGCTAGACAGGTTGAGAAGGGAAGAAGAAGAACGTTTGCGAAGGAAAGCCTTAGAAGATGCGGAAAGGAAAAGAGAGGAAGAGGAACGTAGGAGGAGAGCTGAAGAGGATGAACGTAGAAGAAAGGCTGAAGAAGACGAACGTAGAAGAAAAGCTGAAGAAGATGAACGCAGAAGAAGGGCTGAAGAAGATGAACGCAGAAGAAAAGCTGAGGAGGAAAGGAGAAGAAGAGAGGAGGAGGAGGCTGCTAGGCGTAGAGAGGAAGAAGAAAGGAAGCGGAAGGAAGCTGAAAAACGTCAACGAGAACAACAGCCACGTGTTCCCGAAGTAAGCGAGTTTTTTGCTAACAGTTTATCGTTTTTCATTCTATGAAATGCATTCCCTTGCCAGAATGCTGTAGAGTTTTATATGTAATGCCACATAGTTCTAGTTATGGCTTCTCAGTTCTAGTTATTAACTCCAATTAACTTTTTTCACTTGAGTTTGAAAATGAGGTTCAAAGGATTTTTGGGTGTTTTCCAAGAGTGATTGCCTTAGTAGAAAGAAATGACATCTTCACCTTTTAAGAGGCGGACTTTGTTTTGTCACAAGAACTTCATGCGTTACTTTGGAAGCATGGATTTTTTCGACTTTTCACATGCTTTCAAGCACTGCTTAATTTTTCTGTAATTTGTACTTTGGAATCTTTGTTATCGAGTCGTCTTTTGCTGTTAAGATTCTGGTTTTCATTTAACATCTAATGCAGAAAGCACCAATAATGCGGTGTCGTGAATCAACCGAGAAACAGCTAATATTGAATTAGGCCTTACCAAACATTCGGTTTTTCTTGCCTTATTAAGAAATAAGGGCCTCAATTTTTCATTATTTTAAAGTAATAATCCTTAGCCTGGTCACGTTTTATGACTAGACATCTTATAAAATTTTCTTGTTGTAAACCAAATGTTTTAATTCTAATCAAGAAATTTTTTTTGAAGCTTCGGTGCAGAAGTCTAGCTGAAAAGTAATGTCTAAGAACTTTAGTTAGCTTGAATTTCGACAGTGCTCAGTTTTCTTTAGTCTTTGAGGAACTTGTTGCATCTGTTGATACGTCTAAGTAATTTTCAACTTTTTTCTTGAAGTTAACAGTTGGACGACTACTTTTTGTAGTAGAAGTAATATAATTGAATTTGTTTTAATCCTTTTCTTTTCAGACAAATATGGCACAAATGGGTTGCACTGCCACTTTGGAAGATTCCTACACCGATTTTGAACTGCCTGGTGAAATACCAGTCACTCCGAAAATCCGGGAACACGAGGAGGAACCGCAAATGTTCCAAGAGGAAACAGTGATTAAAAAGCAATTCTATGAAATGGAGGGCATATTACATAAACAAACTGGCGAGATTCTGACATTTGTTGAGGCAGTTCGTCAGGGTTTGCTTGATTTACATTCTGGTGGAGGTGAATTTTATGACATTGTTTCTGGCCGTATTAGTTTGGAAAAAGCAGTCGAGCTTGGTTACATAGATGGAAAGCTCCCAGAAGTTTTGAATCGCCACTATGGTATTCACCATCCTGATACTAAGGAAAGTTTGTCATTGCTTGATGCTATCCAGCTTGGTTTGTACGATCCTGACACTCGTCAGCTTCGGGATATAAGAAGTGGAGAAATTTTGTCTATGCAGGATTGTATAGAAAGAGGCATTTTAACAGTGCAGACTCAGTACTGGTTAGTTAGGGCAAATATACTGAAGCTTCCACCTATTTCTTTGGAGGAGGCGATAAGTCGCGGAGTTGTAGACAGGGAGACTGGTGATTTTACAGGGAGATATACTGGGGAAAAAATACCTTTAAAAGAAGCTTTATACTATGGTTATGTTCAAATTGGGGGAATGAGACCGTATCAGAAATACGCTGTTTCGCTCTCTGACTGCATTTATCTTGGTCTTATAAACGCCATAACTGGTGAATTTCACGATAGGAATTCCGGCGAAAGGTTTACGTTGCAGGAGGCCATCTCAAGTGAGACGTCATTGGTAAATTTGCTTCTTAAAGAAATCATAAATACTATCGAGGAAAAGCGTGTAACTTTGGAAGACGCAATTGCGAACAATGTAATTGCTGCGAAGGAAGGGAAGTACAATGACTTACAAGCAAACAAGAGCTTTACTTTACAAGAAGCGTTTGATAGGGATTTGATACAGAAGCCTATGACACTTACAGAAATAAGCGAAAAAGGACTTGTTGACTCCACACACAAATTTATTGATGCTGGGACAAAACATCGGTATACGCTGCTTGAAGCTGTCGCGGGGGGCCTGCTAGATGGAGAAGTAAGGCATATCGTTGACCCGGAAAGTAAGGAAATTGTCTCTATTTGTGATGCTCTTGAAAGAGGACTTCTTGCTCCGGATGGTAAGATCATGGTTGAGGACGACAAGACGTTTACTGTTTCTGAAGCTGTACATGCGGGTTTGTTAACGAAGAGAGTACGTCATTCAGTTTTTGACATAAAAGGATTCAACAATAAGGTGACGAAAGAGACGTTGAATTTTAATGAAGCTGTGGAGGCTCTTATTGTCATACCGCAGGCGGAACGAATTGTTGATCTTTCGACACACGAAAGTTACAGCTTTCTTGATGCTCGTGATAAGGATATCATTGATCCTGTCTTATACCGTCTTCTTAGTTTAAACACAGGAATCAAAGATGAAGGAGGCAGGGAAATTTCACTGTTTCGAGCTGTTGCGAAAGGCTTTATTGACCCAGCAAAAAGTGTATATTTGCATAAAAATAGAGAGCTTGGTCCAAAGCAGGCGTACGAGGCGGGTTTTGTCTCTTTACGTGGTGCCCTCCAGCTCACTGCGCTATTTGACATCCATCCGTCTTTGATTTCTTCTTCACGAAAATACGAAGTTAAGCGAAGAATTCACAGACCTGGTCAACAGTCAAGCATTGCAACTGACCAAGTGAAAGTTACTTTAGCAGAAGCTATGAAGCAAGGTTTAATTGATGCTAAGACTCACCGGTTCCGTCAGGGAGATACGGAAATGAGTTTTGAAGACGCTCTCAGCCACGGCTTCATTCATCCTTCAGACGAGTGGATAGTTCCATCAAGGAACGCAGAAACGGGACCAACAATTGAGGAGAAGGTCAATGAGACTGTGACCGAAACTGGCCAGCAGTTAGGACAGAAGTATTATCCAAATATTGATGGAAATGTGGAAGAGTCAGTGACAACTATTCAGCGTGTCAAGACAACAGAAACTACAGCTGTCGGTGGGCCAGGCGGCGTTTCAGCCTATCGTGCAATCACTGGTGGCAGGGGAGCTTTTGAAGTTCCAGCCGACGGGTTCCACTTGCATGAAGCCGAGCAGAAAGGATACATTGATCTTAAGACTGGTGTTGTATCTCCTCCAAACGTTGAAAGGAAATTGAGCTTTGAGGAAGCTATTAAGTTTGGTGTGATTAATGGCAGTACCATTTTCTATGTAGATTCAAATACCGGTAAAAAAGTGCCTGTAAAAGAGGCATTGGAGCGAAAATTGATTAATTCAAATGGTTCTGTTAAGAATAAGGGGAAATTATTGGATTTGCAATCAGCAGTTGAGAAAGAAATAATAGTGGTTGAGCCAGAAGTTCTCTTAGCGCCTTCTACTAGTAACCGAAAAGTAATCCAGTTTGCCCCTGGCTCGAATGTTGTAATGAGTTTCCGTCCTGTGGGAGACGCCGTGGTAGAAGAGTCTGAACATTCATGGTCTTTCGATACTAGTAGAGGAGAAGTTGTAGATCATATTACTGGGGATTGTTTGTTACTGGACGCAGCTATTGATCGGGGTGTTATTTCTACGTCAGATTTGCTCGTGTACGATACTCTTACCGGGCGGGAAATGTCTTTCGACGAAGCAGAGAAGTGGGGAGTAGTTGATAAGAAAAACCGTTATTATTTGGACAAAGTTGATAGCAAACGGTACTCATTTGCTGATGCGGCTAAACAGCATCGTATTTATCCAGCAGGAGGTGCACCTGAAAATGCGGCAGATGCAGTTTTTACGACCGTGAAGGTGCAGCGAAGGAGCGAAGTATCAAAGAAGCAAGCACTATCCACTGGTTTACAAAACGGGGAGTTGTCGTTAAGCAAACTTTTAAGCCTTGGATTGTATGATGCGAAGACTGGTACGTTTGTTCACCCGACTGCCAACAAGTCACTTACGTTAAAGCAAGCAATAATTGAGGGACTGGTTGATCCATACCACTCGATAGTAGTTGATAGACGCGGTAACCGGGAATTACTCATGATTGACGGTATTAGTGAAGGAATAATTGATGATGAGTCTGGCACAGTGCTTGATACTGCTAGCAGGAAGACTTTTGACTTACAAACAGCGATGAAAGACGGTCTTTTGCGTAGTAAGAATATTCCGGAAAGTTTTGAAGATGCTATAATTAAAAGCAAGTTGGATTTAAACACTGGAGTTTTCACTGACCAGCAAGGAAAGAAGATGCCACTTCAAAAAGCTTTAGCTGAAAATTTGATTGAGGGCAGCACTGTAGTCATTCGAGATCCTCTTACAGGTGAAGAAATGAGCTATCCTGAGGCGGTCAAAAAGGGCGTAGTGAATTTAGACGAAGGTGTAGTGTACAACAGACGTACAAGCGAGAAAATGAGTTTTCCACAGGCTTTATCAGGTGGCATTATTGCCGGCATTGGTTCAAGACCACGTACGACTACGAGTACTGGTCACCCTCGAATTGTCGAAAGAAGCCTTCAACTTACTCCGTTTGCACCGCCGATGAAGCACACGGAAGCTGCACTAACTGACGGCAGCAGCCATGGGCAAAACCAGATGCTTGAATTGCCAAATGGTAATAAAGCTCTTGTAAAAATGGTTCGTGGCGAAGGCGGAGTTGAGAAGGGTGAGTATTTCGATCCCAGCTCAGGTATGAAGTTTATCTACCAGGTTCAAGGTGACCCATATGTTACAAAAACTGAAACAAAAGTGCGCAGTACTTCTCAAGTGCGATCTATTGATGTTGAACCGCATGCTGAACTAGTGGGCATCGATAGAGTGAAAGATAAAAGAAGTGGTAGGATTATGTCGCTACAGGAAGCGCAACGTCTTGGGCTGGTACATGTCGATAAAAAAGGGAAAGAGACGACTAGGACTTATTCAGTCTTTCGATCAAATCTTTCAAATGCCATTGAAAAAGGAGTTGTTGATCAAGATGGTGAGAAGATCAGTCTTGGAGATGCTATACGTGCCAAATTGATAGACATTGTGAATTTGAAATATAATAGCCGCAAAACAGGAGAGTTGACTCTTGAGCAGGCTGCTAATATGGGGTATTTGGACGCTACTCTTTCTGATGTGTTGTCAGAGGGGGTTTACAATCCCGCTAATGGGTACCGAATTTCCACAAAAGACGCTGTAAGCTTTGGTATGATTGATTTGAAAACGGGAGAGGTTTGTAATCCTTGGTCTGGCAAGAAATTAAGTTGGATAGATGTGTTGAAACCTGTATATGTAAGTCTGACCAAGGAAGGAGTGTATGACCCTGCAAAAGGTTACAGAATTCCAATTCTTAGTGCTATTGTGGAAGGATTAATTGATACGACCAGAGAACTTTACTGTAACAGAATCACTGGTCAGAAAATAAATTTGGATGAGGCTGTCACAAACGGATTGATTGATCCTGATACCGTCAAAGCAATAAGGGAACCGTTTTTGGTTGACTACAGAACTCACAAAGAACTGAACTTTATAGAAGCAGTGCGGGAGAAACTGGTTGATCCTCGCAATAGGACAGTCCAGTTTGCAGAACATGTTATTGTACCAGTTGCGAGAGCAACCGCGGATGGAAAAATTCCTCGCAACATTGGAGAAATTCTCAAGAGGGTTGACAAAATGAACTTTGCCGAGGCATTGGGTAAAGGATTGATAGATGTCAGACAAGACTGTTTTACAGATCCGGAGACTGGCCGGCAAATGCCGATCAGCCAAGCCATTATTGAGGGTTACATTGATACGGGAAATGTTGTAGCAGCTGAGGGATCTGACGAAACAAATCTTTCTAAAGTACTATTTTCTTCAGCGTTTGATGAAGTTTCTGGCAGAGTTAAGGACAAGAAAACTGACTTGAATTTAACGTTTGAGGATGCTGTTACTCGTGGTGTTATAGATGGAAATTCTTTGTTACACAGCTTTGACTATAATGAGACTATGACACTGCAGCAAGCCATGGGTCTAAATCGCATCACACCTAATGGTCAGTATAAGGAAGCAAAGACTGGCAACACTTTCACTTTGAAAGAAGCTGTGGATCGTGATCTAATTGTATTAATTCCTTCCCCTATGCAGGCGGCTCAGAAGGTTACAGAAGCGGTCAAGCGCCGAGACGCAGAAGGTTATAAATTTAAAATTGAACCTGCAGATACATGGAAAAGCAAAACTAGCGCACCGCATTGGCGCGAGGAATCCTCAGTAATTAAAGTTTCTACTCCGTTGAAAGACTATCGTACTGAACGGGTTTCCCGCAGTTCGGAGTCAGGCTCTGAGATGGGGATTGGGGAGCCGGGAGTTAGAACTTGGACAAAGACCTGGCAGGGTAAAACGTCTGAGTTAAGGCAACCGCAATCTGGTTCTTCACACACGCTGTTCTCATCCAGTTCTTCATCTTCTAAACCTTCTAACCCTCCAATATGGGCTCGTAGAGACTAG